TACTATACACAACTTGAGACAACTTATGTTTTGGTTTTCATCTTTTTTGTGCGGCTGACTGGTTGTAAGTGAAGAGGGTGGCCGAGTTGTGGCTATGTCAATTGTGTAAAACGGAAGGGAGTCAGCCGCACTTCTGTTGTTCAAGTGTAGATTTCTAGGTGCATTTTGGTTGAGATTAAAGTTTGGCTATGCCTTGATGAGATCAATACCAAGCATTGCAACAAGTTCAAATCGGTCATGGATTGGTGGTGTTCCATGATCATCATCAATGGCATCATGCCCGTCGTTTCAAAAGGATACACCAAAGCTCATTTCAAAACTAACTGCCGATAGAAGCAGCTAATTCAAGACAATATATGAAGAGAAATAGGAAATGTGGCAATACATATAAATTCAGAGTCTCAGGTTAGCCGGCCAACTGTTCTCTCCACCTGCACGGATTTTACATTGAAGATAGTATATACGCACGCATGCATACAAAAGTACTCCTCGGAATCAAAATATAAGACACATTATTATTATTATTATTATTATTATTATTATTATTAAGAAAAGACGTTTTTTAACGCTCAAAAATCATTTTATATTTTGATACCGAGGTACAATACGTCAAACAGAAGGCCCGGCCTAGCTGTATACCAAATACAATGCGTATAGCGGGAAGCCCTCCCTGGCCGAAGGCAAGGAGACCACACTGTGGACCAACTTGTGGTTGGATGGTTAGCAGGACAATAGTATCACCTGACCATCAGGTTCAAATCTTGATGCTTGCATTATTTCTGGATTTATTTCAGGATTTCCGACGATGCGCGTTCAATGGGAGTAGACGTTCTCGTCGACTACAAGGCGCCTGTGCTGACTTGGTCAATCTTAAGATGATATGTCGGCTCAGTCTCTCGCATGTACTCATAGGGGTAGGGTCTGCGTATGTATTCATGCGGATGAGTGTATGTGTGTGTATATGAACGCCTACGTATGCGTATGTACCGTGTTCTAAAGAAAAGGAAATCCTACTTTGGAAAAGATACTTTGCTTTGTGCCATATAAAAAAATGGAAGAAGAAAAAAGAAAGGCGTGGAGAAATCTTATCTGTATGTCGGCCGGCCACGGGAAAGAAGTAGAATACGAGTCCAACTAACAAGTCCGAGAGGGAGACGGTCGAATGGATCGAGCTCGTGCTGACCGACCGACTCGGATCGACACATACGTTCGATCGCCTGCATATATTGCCGCCGTCTAGCTTCCACGATCTCATCAGGTCATCGAGAGCGTACGTGAAGTCCTCGACGAGCACCACACCCCCGCCCACCGGTCGACTCCACCAAGAGCGAGCGCAGTTCCGGCGAGGGGACATGTCCGTCCGCCCATAAATACTGCGCAGCCCTTCTGGCGCTGGTGGGGGCAGGGATGATCCTAGAAGAGCAGGCGCAGTCAAGTAGACGTCAAGCCAGACAACAGCAACAGCTTCTGGACCTCAAGGCGGAGCTGAAGAAGCAGGAGCTGCGTCAACAAGCTGTGCAAGCGCAGGTCAACGTGCTGCTCAAGGAACGCAACGGGAGCTAATCAACCTGTACGATCTCCATTACATTTTTTTCAGGGATCTCCCTTACCTTGTTTAGTTTATTATGAACGGAATAAAATGATTGATTTGTACTCGTGATTACTAGTCCCTTTTCTTTTTTTGACAATTGTTTTTCCTTCCAGCCAATACCAGCGTCAGTATATCTTTGAGAAAATGGAACATATCAGGGTGTGCCCTAATTCACAAAAATGATTTACATCTAAGTTTAGAAGTACAAAGCATCTCAAACATAACAAAATTACATCGACATTCCAACACCACCAAACAACCAATACAGCCGCCAGAACAAGCCGCCGCCGCTCCCCTATCGAACCCAGCTTGACCTTGTCAGTAACAACCGAGTCTTCATGCACGTGCCCCTAGGGACTGGCACTCCAAAGCCGCAGTCGTCGCCATTGAACCCATTAATAGATCCAAATCAACTGATACCAAATCTCGCCACACGACGAGAAACATTAGCCTCACCGCCCGAAGGAGACATCAGGAATCTACGCCGAAGCCCCGACGACTATGTCCAAATGGACGAACTCGAAAGACAAAAGAAGCCATCCGTCCGAGCGCCGCATCTGCGAGGACTAAGGAAACCTAACCTAAACTACCACTAGGAGAGGGGGCACCAGGATTCTCCTCTCCATCACCGATCGCTAGAACAGCAAGCAAAGAGGAAGCGAATTCACGAGCTCATCGGTGAAGTTTCAAGAGGAAAGTTTGCCCTACCGTCAAGCGTTAGGGGAGGAACCTAGCTAAAGGCAAAGTAACATTCATTGTTTTGTATCCGTAAGAGCATCTACAGCTGGCCACCTCAAATCGGCCTGACCGGTCATAAAATTTGGACCCAAATGGGCACCTCAAAACGAGTGTCGAACGAGCGGGCTAACTGACACCCCTCAGGGCATCTACAATGCCAGCCGCCTGACCGGGCGCTTATGGAGGAAAAAAGTTAATATTACTATAAACAAAAAAAGATCTAAGAGCGCTACTCTCCAACGGCAGGCGCTAATCTTGGGCGCTAATTCCACGGCAATTAAACTATCTACGCGTCTCATGTGGGTTAAAAAGGAAGGAAGCGCCGGCGCACATCTTTGCGTCCCGCGGCGTCCGATGCGAGGACTTGATTGCCTTAACTGCCAATCGACCGGAAGATTGATAGGAAAGTATTCCTGGCGTCTCGCTAAGCGCCTCGCATTGGACATGCCCTCATGCTACCACGCCACGCCATATTCGCACTGCCACGCGTTGCCACCCCACCCCGCTGACACGTGATGCTGCTCCGCCTCTATGTCCCGCTGATCACCGTCACACCAAAGTTCACGGCCGCATCACCGCTCACCCGTGTCACTGATCTGCGGGCCCTAGGTCTGTTTATTGAATAGAAAAAAAAGGAAATATGTTTTTTAGGAGAGCTGTTGGAGTTGCCCTTGGATGTGCAACTTAGGTCACATCTAGATGTGCTTTAGCAAAACAATTAGAAAAGCATGTCTCCATAAACCAGAATACTGGGAAGCGCACAGAAATGATGGAACCGCTGATGCACCGGCGAGTGGACCTATCAAGCCAAATAACGGGTGCAAAAATGTGGCAAGAGGATACAGCACACTAGCTCAAAACATCCGAAAGCACCGCAAGCGTACAGTAGGCACCAAAATGGGAAGGCTACAGCCATCATTCATTCACGCAGCCACTAAATTACACAATGCGCTCCGGAGTACACCATTTTGAGGGGCAGCCAAAATTTATTACCCTATCGACACGCTGTGAAAGGCGAAACCACCTTTCTGAAACTCAGATGCAATCTTTCCGTCGCCGCGAAAATGCTGATCGCTACGCATTGTAAGAGTGAGGAGGTAAAGTGGAGAAATGCACAACACAAAGAAAAAAACGGTGTGGTCAATTGGGTCAGCTGCCTTTCTCAAGATTCTCAGCTTCTCGCCGCTGCCTCTCTTTCGCCTCCTCGCGTAATCTGTCCTCCTCTCGCCTCAACGCTTCGGCCGCCTCTTCCTCGGCCTCCTCTCGCTCCCTGCGCTCATCCTCCGCGTCCTCTCTTTCATCAAGATAATCAAACTCCTTTTCTGCAGCCATAGCCTTCACTATAGGATCCCGCAGCTCGGATATCAAACCTCCACCAACCTTGTACTCCTGCTCGTCGCCGACAAGGAATAGCCGCTGGTCAGGGCCTGTCGCCATCGGTATGTCAACAGCAAGCAGCTTCATGTCATACTGCAAACGAATTAGAGCAAGGTCAGAAAATTTGCTGTCATTGGGATAATAATACCATTCGTTTACTACTTTCTCAAGCAGGATGAGATCTTATGTTAGCTCTCTTCATACATGCAGTAGTATATAATACTAAAAGCAGTGATTTCTGGATGGCAGGGAATGGGCAAACACCAAAACTAACTATTTGAATACAAACGACCAGTCGATCATAATGTTGTATGACAGAAATATCATCTTTCTATGATAAACTTCGTTCATTTCTGCATAAGGGCTGCCAAAAAAAAACTGACGTAAGCACAAGATTGTGCATTAAGTTTGAAGAGTAACCAACAATTTGGTGGAAATTTTCTTCACTTAACTCTACCTTTGGAATAAATTGTTCAAGTTTTCACTCACACACTAATGGTCCGGTACTTAATTATATGGTCCATGCATAAGTACCAGACTGTTCAATCTGGAGGTACTGAAGTAGAGGTTTCTACAAAATAGAGAAGAACATTTTAAATACCTGTCCTTTTTTCTTCTTGACCTCAACACTTACAAGACCCTTTCTTTCTGATCCTTTGATGGGGAAGATAAGAAAGCACCGTTTGCCACCAACCCTAAATTTGAAGTCCTTTAGTTTAGGGCCTCCACCAGACATAACATATGCTCTGACATCAGTGCCAGCTAAGGGCGCACCCATCACTTCAAGGATTGCAGCAGATGTATTGAGCTTTGTCATTGCAATCCTGTAAACCTTGTCAGGATTTATGGTGAACCTTGCACGTGCGTACATGCCCTATGACAAACATAGACAAATGAAATCATTTAATTTCCCCAAAACCATCGCATCATCTGTCTAGCAAAGCTGCACAAAAAAGCCTAGATTGCCAACTATACCCTTCTATGAGTAATCAACATGATACTATAGCAGAGGATAAAACAAAAAAGGTGCAGAAGATAAAACAGAAGGTGCCACTGAAATTTTGTGATGAGCTATAACGTGCTGCAGGTGCAAGTAGACTACTTATTGTAACTTACCAGTTTACGAATTCACACACCCTAGTATTTTTACACTCTGTCGCTGCACCTCAGCAAACAAAATACTCTTCACCATAAACTTAATATGGACAAGGCCATGAGCACCCAAAAGTCAAGGCTTCTATGTTTCAAGGGATTTTCTTAGCATTTGGAGGATGCAAACCACAATATTTTGATTTTTAGGACTACAATCCGCAATATTTTTCTATGACCTCCTCTGCTCTATTTCATAGCAAAATTTCCATCGTCTAACGCATCTTGAGAAGAATACTAGTTTTCTGATGGTGCAACCAAACATAATCTCAAGAGGGTGTGAAACTACAATCCTACATTGTCTCTATTCCTGCATTTTTTTCAATCATATGAATCAAAGAGGCCCAAATTACTGTAGCGTCCATGCGGACCAAAAATGACATAAATATGAACGAGCGACGGTATTATAAGTATGCCTGTCCTGTACTCTGGTTTTGTGATTAAACTTCTACTGACATTTTGAAACACAGCATAGGCCCTTGATTTGTTGCCCTACATGGTAAAGCACCATGTGCGTACCAATTCTCAATGAATATCCACATAGTGGATTCTGATGCATCATCTACAGTTAATGACAAAATTTACTTTATGAACAATAGAAAAATTTGTTTCTTGAGCAATCAAAGGTGCAAGTACAGAATGAAAGTAATGTGTCCTATGGTTTTCTGGAGGTGCAATCAAACATCATTTCAATCCCCTAGGACTCAAGAAGGCGTGATACCGTAATCCTACGTTTTCTCTATATTCCTATAAAAAAAATTCATGGTAATCAAAGAGGCCCAAATTACTCATGCGCACCAAAATGACAAGACACATGAACAGGCGACATTGTTATAAGCATGCCTATCCAGTACTTTGGCTTAGCAATTAACTGGCAGTGATATCTTGAAACAAGGTGTACACTCGATTTGTTGCGCTATATGGTAAAGCATCATCTGCGAGGGCAGTAGTTGCCAGGGCAATCAACCACTATCTAAGAACCCAGTACCACTTCTCGATGGACATCCACTTGGTGAATCCTGATCGTTCCTCTATGTTTAAGAACAAACTGTATGAGTCAGTGCATTTACCCTACGAACAACAGACAGTGAATTTGGTTCTTAAGCAATCCAATGTATAAGTACAAAACGTAAGTAATGGCTGGTGGCAGCTCAGATGTAATGGTAAATCCAAAGGAAAAATATCTTCACACTGATAGCACGGTAATATGGTATGATCTGCACATTTCTAGCATGGGATGCCAGCCCATCAGGGTGAACTGGTCTCTTTTAGGAACAGTGTGGCAATTTTGGAAGCATGGCATATACTGCACAGTTTGAAAGGGAAAAATACAGTGGCATTGCAATCCCTACGAAATGAACCGCCTAGAATAATATTGAAGGTTACCCAGAATACCTCACAAAGCTAGATTGTGAGCATAGCCCCGTGACGTTACTGGAATAGTTTCGCCATTTGTGCACTACTATATGTCCGCTAGTTAAACCTATCCGAGACATTGGTTATGTGCAATAAGTGGACCAGAATATACTGTTTCACTGCTCCCCCTCCCTCCCGCGGCGCTCCCGCGAGCGCCCGGGGGGAAAACCCTAGCGCCGCCTCCAGCCCCCCCCCCCTTCCTCGAGCCTTCCTCCCCTC